TGCCTGTAATCCCAGCACTTTGGGAGGTCAAAACCGGTGGATCCCTTGAGGTCAGGAGTTTGAGACCAGCTTGGCTAACATGGTGAAGCCCCATCTCTACTAAGATACAAAAATTAGCTGGGCATGGTGGCATGCACCTGTAATCCCAGCTGTTTGGGAGGCTGAAGCAGGAGAATTGCTTGAACCTGGGAGGGGGAGGATGTAGTGAGCTGAGACTGTGCCACTACACTTTAGCATGGGTGACAGGGCAAGACTCCAGCTCAAAAAAGAAAAAAAAGAGAGATCTCATCTCAAAAAAACCCCAGCTTTACATAATGATGTAAAAAATCATTTGCTACACATCAGCTATTTCTGACAAATTTTTAACTACAGGCAAGAAAATCATAGACTTCAAAATGATTCATTATGAGTTGCTAGTCTAGTCTCTTGTTTACATTACTCTCATTCTAGCGAGAGAGGATGTGATTTCCAGAGTCAACGTGCCTTCGTTTGGGCTTGCTCTTTACTCTTTATCTTATTATTTTTCATTTCTAAACTCACACAGGTACAGACCTTTCTTTACACAAAGCAGAGCACATGGCCAAGGAAAGGATGTGATTTCCAGAGTCTGTTTCTACAACTGCCCTAAAAGTACAAATCCTTTAAGAAATGTAGTAGATTGATTTAAAGTCACAATACATTATAAGTGAGAATTTTTCTCAACATAAAACAGAAAGATGCTAGGTATATCAAAAGAAGGGATGCTTCAGAAGAGAACCACACTAAAAGGAGATTAAACTCCCCAAAATAAAGCTTACCTACTTCACAATTGTGATGAGGGCTGGCAGACTAGCACTGGAGAGGCAGTAGAGACACAGAACACTCACCCAGGCTGAGTGAGATAGGAGACCCAGGATCCAAATAGGAGTTCCAGGCTGTAGCATTGTCATCTATTAACTGGTCTTCTCTAACTCCTCTGAGACACACTTTCTTCACCTACAAAATCTAAGATATGTGACAGAGGGAGAGAAAGAGAATCAGTTTGATGTCTATTTTTAGGTTTAAGATTCTTAGATTATGCTAATGATCACTTTATATAGCACCACCTCCACGTAAGTACCAAACACATAATTAGCGTATGTTATTGGACACACGCTCAATATGGGCTTGAGTACAGCTAAAGAAACATAAGCAGATTCAAGCTTTTGGGTAATCCATACAAGAGAACAATGACATTAAATACTATAAAATCATGTAAGTGATGGCATGTTAAGTTTTTCACTGATGAATAAGTGGGAATTCATGTTATAGCCAGTGAAGACCCTTTCACAGTTATGTTTGGTTAAGGTACCTTTCCAGTCCTGTGTTTATACAGGTAGAACCTCTTTTTTTCTTTCTTTTTTTTCTTGAGATGGAATCTCACCCTGTCTCCTAGGCTGGAGTGCACTGGTGCGTTCTCAGCTCACTGCAACCTCCACCTCCCAAGTTCAAACAATTCTCCTGCCTCAGTCTCCTGATAGCTGGGATTACAGGTGCTTGCCACCACGCCCAGCTAGGCTAATTTTTGTATTTTCAGTAGAGATGGGGTTTCACCATGAGGCTGGTCTCGAACTCCTCACCTCGTCATCCGCCCACGTTGGCCTCCCAAAATGTTGTGATTACAGGCATGAGCCACTAAGCCTGGGCACCACTTCCTTTTTCTATTTAATAAAATATTGGTGGGGAAAAGACCCTCTGGCATTTGCTGTCTCATTTGTTCCTTTGTTGTAGTGATAGGGAAAGCCATAAAATAATAATATTTCAAGAAACAGATAAGATATAGATGACTTTTTAGATCTCCTTCTGGCCTCATGGACTTACATGTGTTTTTACAGAATAGAGGTAAAATAATGATTATTAGGCTAAATGGTAATGTGGAAGTACAGGGATAATTCAAAGTTTAAGAATTCCTTCCCAGCTGGGCATGGAGGCTCATGCCTGTAATCCCAGCACTTTGAGAGGCCAAGGTGGGTGGATCACGAGGTCAATAGATTGAGACCATCCTGGCCAACATGGTGAAACCCTGTCCCTACTAAAAATACAAAAATTAGCTGGGTGTGGTGGCACACACCTGTAATCCTAGCTACTCAAGAGGCTGAGGCAGGAGAATTGCTTGAACCTGGGAGGTGGAGGTTGCAGTGAGCCGAGATCAGGCCACTGCACTCCAGCCTGGTGACAGAGTGGGACGCCATATAAAAAAAAAAAAAAAAAAAAAAAAGAATTCCTTCCCCATGTTTAACTGGTGTGCTTTGCAAGGTCTAGATGACATCAATGATACAATTCTTGCAAGCAACAGCAGCAGGGTTCTTGAAGGTCCGTTGTCACCTAAAAATTGTTTTCTTCCTTTTATGTTGTTAAAGAGACTAAAGATTACCCTGAATGGATAATGGAATTAAGTTTCTCAAAATATGGTCCACGGACCGCCTGTCTGTATCAGCATCATTTGCGGTGCTTGTTCAAAATCCATATTCCTGGGGAATGGAGGTTTCACCACTTCGAGACCCACAGAGACTCCATTATGCTTTATGCAGGGTCACAAATGCCTCTAGAATGAAGTAGATACTCCTTTTGAATTCCTGTGATGTGAAACTGATAGCAAATATTAATCCAAAAGCAAAACTGAAAAAAAAAATTCATATTCTTGGTCTGTACCTGAGATCATCTTGATGGATCTCAGGTATGCTTGTATTAAACCCTCTGGTGCTATTTATACACAATAATGTCTAAAAATCACTGTCTAAATTAAGAATTCACATTCTACTGCATTGGATTAGTGATACAATGAAATTCAGGTCCAGAGTTTTTATCATTCAACAACCAAAACACATGGAAGTGACTTTTACACAGCTTTCAAAGCATAACACATGTAAAATAGACAATACAAACAAGCTTTAAAAAGAATAAAATCGAAGGCTGGGTGTGGTGACTCAGGCCTGCAATCCCAGCACTTTGGGAGGCTGAGGCAGGCAGATCACAAGGTCAGGAGTTTGAGACCAGACTGACCAACCCTATCTCTACTAAAAATATAAAAATTAGCCAGGCATGGTGGTGGGCGCCTATAATCCCAGGCACTCATGAGGCTGAGGCAGGAGAATCTCTTGAATTGCAGTGAGCCAAGATGTAACCACTGCACTCCACCTTCTGTGACAGAGTGGAACGCCAAAAAAAACAAGAAGAAGAAAAGAAAATCATTCCATAATACTTTTATCCAAGGAAAAACAATAGTTGAGGACTATTTGTGTGAATTTCCTTCAAGTCTCTAAATATCATAATATAGATCATCATAGGTTCTGAAAACTCCTAACAGCAGGGACTGTTTTTCTCCATCACTGTAACCCTAGCTCTTCCCAAAATGCCCAGCACATAGTAGGTACTGAAAGCTTTGCTGAGTGAACAAAGTGACTATGAAGCTGAAATCAAATTGTATCTTTGATTTGGGTCACACTTTTTACAAAAATATACCAGCATTAAATAGAATATCACTTTCTGATTCTCAAAATTGATAACAAATCAATAACTAGTACTTCGGTACCAGATATTTTTCTAGCATTTTAGCGATATTAATTTAACCCTAACAGCCACATGTCATTTAAGTGCTATTTTATCCCGAATTTTTAGATCAGGACACTGGAACATAGAGAGTTTAGGTAACCAACCCAATACTACACACCCACTATGTGGCAGAGCTATCTCCCCAGGCTTTATCAGACCAGGTTAATCTACCTGTTCATGGTCATAAAATCACCTACCTTTTATAAACAAACGTGCATAACACTGACCACTTCAGCTATGGGAACTTCTATATAACATTTAAAAACCCTCCATTAGGAAACTATATATTAGGTGATTGTGTGACAGTTAAGATTGAGCCCTGGTACCTACGTTACTCTGCTACCACACAAAACTCTGCAAGGGCGCCTGTACCACCCGAGGTGTGGGATGGGAAGTGCATGGGGCAGGTACCTCCGTGCACATCCACACATGTTGTTCTCAACCCCAATAATCATGTTTACCACACGAGCCTCACAAGTTCACCTTTTTTTTTAGACAGGGTCTCATTCTGTCGCCCAGGCTGGAGTGCAGTGGCACGATCTCAGCTCACAGCAGCCTCGACCTCCTGGGCTCAGGCGCTCCTCCCACCTCAGCCTCCCGTGGCTGGGATCACAGGCACGCGCACCACCACATGCGGCTAATTTTTTGTATTTTTGATTTAAGAGATGGGGTTTTGCCATGTTGCCCAGGCTGGTCCGGAACTCCTGACAGCAAGTGATCAGCCCGCCTCAGCCTCCCGAAATGCTGTGGATACAGAAGGGAGCCACCAACTTCCCAAGTTTAAGGGTGAAATGGAGGAAAGTTCATGTAATACTCAGGGAAGTCCAATTCTTCCCACGTCTTTCACTTGGGCCCCACACAAAAATAAAGTAACTAGAAGTGCACCCTTCTGTTCACAGTGCGCGCACCGTCGGTGGCGTCCGCTGGAAGCCCCGGGTCGGACCGGGAGGGGGACAGTGCCTCCTGCTCAGGGCCGGTATCCAAACTGATCCGCTCCCCACCGCACCCCCAGAACCTAAGAAAACCAGACCCCGCAAACCTGCACGAACAGAGCCATTTCCTCCTAATGTGTGTTTCAAACCCACGAAACCCAACTGGAAGCAGGACCAGCGTGCCTGCCCTGCACGCTACTCCTCCCGCGGCAGCAGCCGCCGATCCGGGCAGGTGGTGGGTCCTCGTGGGGTTCCGAGAACGTTGAGCCGCCACGCGCAACCGACGCCGGCTGGGCCTGCAAATCACCTCCAGGCCGCCAGGGAGCGCCGCAGCCGCGAGAGCGAGGCGGGTCGCCCAGGAGGGGGCGCGCGGCGCCGCAGGGAAAGAGGGTGCCGCCTCGCTAGCGCTGCGCCCCTCCCCCCGCGCGCCCTCCAGGCGGGGCGGCGCGCGAGGCCCCTGTGGGCGAGGGGGCGGGGACGAAACGGCCCGAGGATCCGTGCGCTGCATGGTGGAGGCGCGGGCGGGCGGGGGTAACCGGCGCGGACGCCGAGACAGTGCCTGGCAGCGGGACCTGGCTACCCTGGACAGCGCATCGCCGCCCGCCTGGGTTGCCGCGCCACAGCCGCTGCGGATCATGGTGAGTGGGACTGCGCGCCGCCACCGCCACCGCCACCGCCGCGCTTTTTCTCTCCGGGACCCACGCACCTGGCGGGAAAGGGCCGAGCGGGTGGCTGCGCGGACTTTGCGGGTTCGCCGCTGGAACCGGCTACCTTCGGAGGGGCAGGGTCCGCGCGGGTCTGGGGAGCGGGAGCTGAGCGTTTGGGCGGGGGGCGCGCGTGTCGGCCCGAGGCCCACTGGTCTCCGGAACTTTGTCCCTGTTCCTGCTCCCGGGTCCCGCTCCAGGACCTCGAGGTACCCGCTCGCCCTCAGCCCCCTGTTGCATGCACTGGGCTGGCGCCCGGGATGCCCGAGGAAGCCGCCCCTCCTTGGCGGCGGCCATTCCCGCCCGCAGCCCACCCTCCGGCCCCGGTAACCTGCTCTCGCCACCCCCCGCCGGCGCCTGGAGCGGAAAACGGCGTTTCTCGCGCGCGGCACCCACCCTGCCTCTGGAGTCCTGGGGTTCGGGCCCTAACGGTTAAGCTCCGGCCCCTCTCCTCCCTGCACCCCGGGAGGTGTCTGTGCGCTCGATGGTGCGTCCTGGGTTTACAGATTGGCTTGAGAGGGCGCTGGGTTTTATCAGTGTCTGGGGTTGGGGCTTCTGGTGTGTTCTTTACAACTCTGCCGGGTTTCCCAGGCCAGTCCTCCACTCTGGATTAGTACCGCTTCCTCTCGGCATTAAGCGGTGTGTGTGTGGGGTGTGTGTGTGTGTGTGTGTGTGTGTGTGCCTTCGGGTCCGATGAACTGCCTGAGAGTTTTAGCAGCAGAACCTGGTTCTTTGGCTACAAAGGGAGAACATCTGTTGTGCTATCCTCAACTCAAAGGACAGGTCTTGGCAAAATGTGAAATCTGCGTTTGTCTTCAGGGGTTTATATTCAATCTTTGCCTCTCCCCCTTCCCGTAGGGTTTCCTCTCCACTTCAGGGCTTATTGAAATATGCTAACCACCTTTCTCTTACTCCATCTGATTTTGCCCTGGCTACCCCTTTAGGCACATACTCTCTGCTTGATTATGTGTGACCACGTAATCTTAAAATTCCAACCTTTCCTACCCAGCCCACCACAGTGTGTATTCCCCTTGCCTGCTTCATTTTCTCTTCTCTTGTGCATGTATTGTTTAGTGTACTGCATATTTTGTTTCTTTAGCTTGTTTCTTGAAAGTCTCCTCTACCAGAATGTAAGTTTCAGGAAGACAGATTTTTATCATTTGTTCTTTACTGTCTTTCTAGTGCCTACAGCCGCACAGTAAGTCCTTGATAACTCTTTTGAATTAACCCAATAAAGCAAGCTGCTTTCTGCTAATGCACAAGTGGAGAGCAACTGCAAACATTTTGCAGCTGACAGTTGTAATGATGAGAGTCTCAAGTGAAGTTTGGGAGGAGGGAGATACTCCCCGAGAGGAGGAACCCGATTTTGGCAGCCTTCAATGACAAAAGTCTAGGCGGCTATCTCTTATGGCTGGTCTGTCGCTTCATGCCCTTGGCACCTTGGCATCAGAGTGGACAAGGCATTTTTAGGGCCAGTTGGCTCTCTCCTTTGGGCTCTGAAGCTTTGTCCCAGTGTGTAGGTAGGAATTGTATCGAGTAAGGGAATAAGTTCACTTGTTAGCTGAATAGAAAAGTCATGGGAATGTTTAACCTAAAAGAGCTAAAATCAAGGGCAAGCTCTTGAAAGCTTTATCCTGCACAAGTGTGATGCTTCCTGTTTCGATAAGTATTTCTCAGAAACTTTGGGTCTTCAGAGGAATTTTTTTTTAATACCCAAATCCAAATTGTATTACCTTTTTTTTTTCTTTTTTGTGCCAGGGTCTCACTCTGTCTCACAGGCTAGAGTGCAGTGGTGCAATCTAGGCTCACTGCAACCTCCACCTCCTGGGCTCAAGTGATTCTCGTGCCTCAGCCTCCCGAGTAGCTGGGATTACAGGCGTGCACCACCACACCAGGTCAACTTGTGTATTTTTGGTAGAGACAGGGTTTCACATGTTGTCCAGGCTGGTCGAACTCCTGACCTCAAGTGATCAACACCCACCTTGGCTTCCCAAGTGCTGGGATTACAAGTCATGAGCCACTATGCCCAGCTGAAATCATACTACTTTATTTTTAAACAAAAAAAAGTGGGCCAGGGAGGAGGAAGGTTAGGGGGTTTAATTTAAAATAAATTAGTGGGTCAGTTCAGAGAGACACCCTTTTGAATACATGTCCAGTATGAACTGTCTTTTAAGATATCTCTACTAGTCTTATTCCAAAATAATTATTTTTTTTCAAATTTCCTTTTGTTTTTCTATTTCTATAATGTGGATTTATGGCAGTGGTTTTAAAAGACAGTCTAGGGAAATGTATTAATTGTAAATAAATTGTTTAATACAATTTACATGAGTAAGTTTTTGAAAAAGATGTAATTAGAGCTGACTATACAAGTTCAGCAGTTCTGTGGTTACCATCTTTCCCAGATAGGTAGCAGAAATTAAATGTGAAAAGGAAAGAAAGTTTGTCTTTGAAATTAATACCAATGAACCAACCAAAGGTCAATGACAGATACTTTATTGACTTCAATTTGTATTTGTAGGAGATTTTACTGTTAAGATTCCTGATTCAAAGTATCCAGCCTTTTTTTCTTTCTGTTCTTTGAAAGTAAGCATTTTCAAGGAGTACAATATCTATTTTTAAAGTATCCAGTTGGGAAAGCTTAATTTTTGGTTCTTCAACAAAGGTTCCATTTAGTTTAGCTTCCTTCAAAACGTTTTAGTCACTTTGAGAGGTCCAGGTGCTTTCGTGCTCCAAAAGAGAATGTTGAGAATTTGTCAAGTAGATCCGTATTATCTGTCTAGTTATGTTCAGAAAACAGGCCCTGCTGTTTAGGATTAGGTGGATGATCATCTCCGTTGGACAGTTGGATATGTACCATCTAACTTGACAGGTTTGCATTTCTGGGAATAAACATTGATGAAAGGAAAGAAGTTGCACCAGAAACGTTTTTAATGGCCGGATATGGTGAAAATATGCCAGCATCAGTAGCTCATCATAATTCTAAAGTTACAAATCCACACGTTTGTAGCTTTTCTTCTTAATTGAATTGGGACATAACTGACTTTGACAATGAACCATTCTAATAAATAGTTTAAATATGACATTTAAAATCTAACCATTTAATAATTAGCATACTTGTTCTGAAATTTCTGTGACCGTTTAGAACTTGAGATCTGGGGTCATCATGGCCTTGAATCCTAACACCGACATTTAACTGTGTGACCCCGTCTCTACTAAAAAATACAAAAAAATTAGCTGGGCATGGTGGCGCGTGCCTGTAATCCCAGCTACTCGGGAGGCTGAGGCAGGAGAATTGCCTGAGCCCAGGAGGCGGAGGTTGCGGTGAGCCAAGATTGCGCCATTGCACTCCAGCCTGGGTAACAAGAGCGAAACTCCGTCTCAAAAAAAAAAAAAAAAAAAAAAGATGTTTAATAAGGTTTTTGGGAAGAACAAATAAGACGGTGCCCTTTATGTGTCTAGCATAGTGCTTGGGGTGCTTAGTAAATATTAACTATTATGATGATGTGTGTCCTTTTTTCTTCCATATCTATGTTTAGTTGAGATACTTCGGAATGATGTCTCTATCCCTTTTGTGATCTTAATATATAACTAATATTGCTGTCCAATAGAAATATAACATAAACCACATATGTAATTTTCAGTTTTCTACAAATCACCTTAAAAAAGTACAGACAAGTGAAATTAGTTTTAATAATGTTATTTAACCCAGTCCATGCATATATTTCATCATCTAATCAATGCAGAAAAAAAAGAGATTTTAAATTCTTTTTTTTCCCATAGAAAATCTTCAAAATCTAGTGCGTATTTGATGCTTAGAGCCCATCTCAGTTCAGGGTACCCATATTTTAGTTGCTCAGTGGTTGCCTGTGGTTAGAGGCGACTGTATTGGACAAACAGCTCTAGATTGCACAGAGCTTCCAAGTTTGCCTCTTAAAGCTCTTAGACCCTTTCCACTAGTGAGAACCTCGCCGCCACCTTAAACCCAGCATTACAAAAAGAAAGCTACTCATCTTTCAGACTCTCTACTCTGTTCCCTTTTGCTGTTAGTAATTCCACCAGCTCTTCAGTCTACTGTCTGAAATCGGATTTGTATTCTCTTTTTTCTTGTATGTTGTTTGTTGTCTAATATTCCCGTATTTTTATTTGAAAACATTTTTTTCTTCAGTCTGACTTCATTCTTCCTACTATATATTTGAAAATATTCTAAAATCTCTTTCCCTCACCCCTTGAGCCTGTTTCCCACATTTTTGCCTTATCTACAGATTCCCTTTTTTTTTTCTTATTATACTTTATGTTCTGGCGTACACGTGCAGATCTTGCAGGATTGTTGCTTAGGTACACACAGGCTCTCTCTGAGTCTCTGGGCTCCACATTCTCTCCATTCTTTCCTCAGCCCTTTATAACGTCAGAAATGGTTTCCATTTCATAGGTTATTCCTACCCTTAATACCTTTCCTTTGTCAAATATCCAGAAAAGTATAATTAGTTTAACTGATAGTCTGACATTAAAATAATTTATTCAAGAGAAGAGCACAAATGAAGGAGGAAAAACAAGCTGTGGGAAGGGAAGATGAAACCATTCTTTGAGCTTTATATGCCTTTCAGGAAATATCAGAAGGAATAGATTCTAGTAGTCTATAGTACAGTAATTCTAGTTAACAATGTATTGTATATTTCAAGAAAGCTAGATGAGAATTATAATATTCCTAACATAAGAAAAGATAAATGTTTGAAGTGATAGATATTCCAGTTACCCTAACTCGATCATTACATTGTATACATGTACCAAGACGTCACATGTACCCTGGGAAAATGTACACAACTATGAGGTATAAATTAAAAAATAGAAATATCATGGAACTGATTAATAATAATCGCAGTCACCACCCCAAAGCAATGAAACTTGATTTTTTTTTTTAATTGTACATAAGCTCT